TCGAGCTTTGGCAATCTACAAGCAAGTCCTGCGAAATGACGCCAAAAATCTCTACGCTGCTAACGGCATCGGTACTTTCACCCTTATGTCCTTTTGTTAGTTATTTACCTTTTTTTTTTTCCCCCCTGTTCTTCTAAACACGACGCTGTCTCTCTCCAGGGGCCGTCCTCGCTCACAAAGGTTATTTCCGAGAGGCGCGTGACGTGTTTGCCCAGGTGAGAGAGGCCACGGCAGAAATCAGCGACGTGTGGCTGAATCTGGCTCACATCTACGTGGAGCAGAAGCAGTACATCAGTGCTGTGCAGATGGTAAGAGGCTTCCTGATCCTTACCGTTTTATGTCTTCATACAGGTGTAGCTCGGTTTAAATCCTCCTTTCTGCTTCACAGTACGAAAACTGCTTGAAGAAGTTTTACAAATACCAGAACACGGAGGTGCTGCTGTATCTTGCCAGAGCTCTCTTCAAATGTGGGAAACTCCAGGAGTGTAAGCAGATGCTGCTGAAGGTAACATAGATGAGCTGCTTTTTTTTTTTTTTTTTTTTTAAACTTGAAAGCATCAGATAAGCACAACCTGACTGTGGTCTGTGACGTGTGGCCCGAAAGGCTCGGCATGTGGCGCCCAGTGACACGGTGCTGATGTTCAACGTGGCCCTGGTGCTTCAGAGACTCGCCACTCTAGTGCTGAAAGACGAGAAGAGCAATTTAAAGGCCGTGCTCAGCGCTGTGAAGGAGCTCGAACTGGCTCACAGGTACTTTCACGATTTCTTTTCTCCATCCCCTCAGACCGTTTCTCAGGAGGCTCGGCGCGAGGAACTATTGTGTCTCATCTTCTTCCGTCTCCTTCTCCTCACGCAGATATTTCAGCTACCTCAGCAAAGCTGGAGACAAGATGAGGTTTGACCTCGCTCTTGCGGCGTCCGAGGCCAGGTAAGACCGACTCCGTGAACCTGGAGCCAGCATCCGTCCTGCGTTGTCAGATCTCAGTTTATGTGCCCTGTTTGGGCTCTCACCTGAGCAACAGACCGTCAGAAGTTTGACACCTAAACTATATTACCCTAAGCTCAAATTCACACAAGGCTGAAACTAACTTAATTTTGCAAATAGTTAGCGTGTAAGGAAAATATAAGTGGATAAAATGATTAGTTACTTCAGAGCTTGTTGTAACGACAAGATACTTACGATGAGGATTTTTATCCTGTAAAACTCCCAACTTTTCTCTGAATATAAGAAAAAGGGTAAACATTATACGGAGTGCACTGATAAGTCGCCCCAGATTTCCTAATTCCACATCGACAAAGATCTGAAAATCAGCCACTGTCTCCTTTTGCTCTGCTGTAACAAAGAAAGACTGACTGCCTCGCTCACCAGGTCACGTGTGCATGTCAGCGATTAATAAGTCACTCTAAATTTTTTCAGATAAATAAAATCAGAATTGGCAGGCCTTTTAAATGATTGACCAGAAAACTGCAATTGGTGCATCCCTTGGAAATGTGATACAAATTCTGCTAGTGATCGTTGCTTCAAAGCCTGAAATATGTCCATAAGTCCCATCATGTCTTCATTTTGTTTAGTCACACCTTAAATTTTTTCTTTTTTTTTTTTCTTTTTTTTGGGGGGGAGGTTGAGAAATTAGAAAAAATAGGAATTAGCCAGAAGCTCATCAAGTACTGCAGGGATTTACTGCCCGACATTCAGCTGTTCCCACAAACCAGCAGGAGAAATCTGCTCATGAAAAAAATCTTTTCTGTCATCTTATCCTCCACCTGCTCCGTCAGGCTGTTGCTTTTTTTTTTATATAACTTGGAAAGAAGCAGATTTCAGTGCTACTATTGGTAGCTATTGTGTAAAAGGGACAAAAGTTTGGTAACTGTGGTGCTAAACAATTCAATCGCATGCAGAAGACAGAAGCAACATTTTCACTCATTTATATAGCTGGGTATGCTTAGTACAAGTCATGGTAGTTAAGTGCACTTGGGTAAATCACTTTTTAATATTTCACATAAGACTTGCATTACTTTTTAAAAAAGCCTACTAAACTAGCAGAAACCCTACACACACACACACACACACACACACACACACACAATATTTTAATAAAACAATCATTTCTGGACCCTGATGATTTCCTTCCTAATTTGTTTTCCCCGTCGGTGACCCCAAGGCTTAAATTTTACAGCTCCTGTCCTAACATCAGCATATTGTGATAATTATGCTTCCTTTTATTACATGCACGGGTCTTGTTCTTAATACTGTTGTGTTGTGGGATCGCAGGCAGTGCTCTGACCTGCTGAGTCAGGCTCAGTACCATGTGGCCAGAGCCAGAAAGCAGGACGAAGAGGAGAAGGAGCTTCGTGCCAAACAGGAACAAGAGAGAGACCTGCTGCGCCAGCAGATGTTAAAAGAACAGGTACCGTCTAGGAAACGCCTGTTGCTGTCCTTTTCTTTGTGTTTCAGTGACCGATTAGCTCGTTTGCTCTGACTCGCATTTAGGAAGAGCGGCAAAAAAGAGAGGCAGAGGAGCAAAAGAAGCTCCTGGAGCAGAGAGCTTTGTTTGTGGAGAAGACCAGGAACTTGCTCACGTTTGTGGAAGGACCAAAAGAAGCGACCAAAGAAAAGAAGAAGGGAGGAGGCGGCGGAGGAGGGCGTGTAAGTGTTTCTCTCAGCACCCGACTCCAAACAAACAAACATACTTAAATATCACCATTTGTTGCGACCGGGCGTTTTGAACTCGTCTTTTCCGATCTCTTCAGCGCAAGAAAGGAGGCGACGCGGATGACTTTGTCAATGACGATTCGGATGAGGACCTTCCAGTGAAAAAGAAGAAGAGGAGAAAGAGCAGCGGGAGCGAGCAAGAGGATGGAGAGGACGGAGATAAAAAGAAAAAGAAGAGGAGGAGGTGGGTCTGCTACGTGTAGCTGTATTTTCTGCTCCACGTTAAGGTGGATAAGTGGAATAAACTTGATTCTTGCCCTTCAGACCTGCAAAAGGAGGAGATGACAGCGATGATGAGGAAGGAGCATCCCGGCCCAAAAAGCAGCGCAAACCCAAAGAAGGACGCAAGAAGATTGAGAAGGTGCTTTTGTTTTTCATCGCCATTATAATGTTTTTTTTTTTTTTGGAGGGAAAGCCTGGTTAATGTAGAAAAACCAGCCATGAATTCATACTTAATTGTATTTCCCATATGCTTTACACCCTAAGTTGAACATAAAGTTACTGAGAACTCTGTAAGGGTGTTTGATGTTGGGATCTTTGTCATTTCAGCCCCAGCCTGAGCGAATGCCACCGTCCCTTAAAGGGAAGATCAAGTCCAAGGCCATCATCTCGTCCTCTGAATCCTCGTCAGATGAGGACGGACTGAAAATAGCTGAAGACAGGTGAGCGCCTGCAGCGGCAGTAAAAGAAACCGAAAGATGAGTCAACGAAATGTTCACGAATGCATCTCGGTCCAACAGAACCCGGGACAGCGGCTCGGGGTCCGAGGACGAAGGCGGTCACAGGAAGCGCATAGCCTCCGACAGCGAATCGGACGGCGGGAGGAATCGCTCCGGCAGCGAGGCGGGAAGCCCTCGCCGCTCCGTCAGCTCGGACGACGAGTCCGGCAGCGACCGACCAGTGAAGAGGAGGGTGCAGCGGCAGTCCGACTCCGAGCAGTCAGACAACGAGAGCAAGAGGAGCCAGTCGGGATCGGACAACGAGTCGAGAGCCGCCTTGCCTGCGGCCGCTTCAGACAGAGGCTCCGAGGCCGGGTCAGACAACGAAGGGTCGCCGCGGCGCTCCGACAACGGATCAGAACAGGAGGCGTCAAATAACGATGACAGCGATTAGGCCACTCAGATTTAATTAAATGCCGAGGAACATTTTTGTTAAACATGGATTCAGTTTGTGTTAATTAGCTTTCGGTGTGTTTTCAATTTCTTACTTGCTTACAAAGTTTTTCTTCAAAGATTTTTTTTTGTTAAAAATTGAGATTAAAACTGTAAAACTTAAGTTGAAGTGATATTTTAACCCAAGTGGGAAGTTGCTCCAATGAAATTAAAGACAACTCTTTCCCATGACGATTCTGGAAACCAAACTTGGCACAAATCTAAGTAGAAGGATGATTTGTCGCTTCACTTTCTTGCTGCCCCAAACTTCACCTCTTGGGTCAAGTTGTAAATAAAACCTACAAAACATTAAAATGGAGTATCTTGAAACCACATGCTTCTTTGTTCCGATTACCAGAGTGGAAAAACTGAGGCAAAGAATTAAACAGTCCAACTTTATTCAAGATTGATCCGTAGTTGTACACTGAACTTCGAGCAGTTATTACATTTAAAGGCGCAGGTGTACACATACAGCACATTCCCAATTTCATGATAAAAAGACCCTTTAAAAATATTGCAAACAGATGTCATTTTTACAAGTGGTTAACAGCTGCAGCATAGTTGCGTCTGCTCTAGCTGTACAAATGTCAAAAATCAGGACATTCAAGTATAGTCAGACACTTTAGAGGTATATCTATACGAACTGATAAATTAAAAAGGCCACACCGATTCATTCTAGGAAAGAAACGTTTCATACATTAAAAAGATCTTGATTTATTCAGCTAGATGTGAAGAGATCATAATGTGCAAGTGAGCTTGACCACAACTGTTCATTAGATTAAGATTTCCTTTAGAAAATTTAAGCTAAATAAGGCCCTTAATTATTAAACTGAAGCAAATAATCAAGAATTTCACTATTGCAACAACTCATGATGTTAAGCAAAGTGCATCAAAAATCTGATTTATAAATGCAGATAAAACGAGGACAAATCTTGGTCTTTGTAAACAGTTTAAGGAAGTTGCACTTGTTACTCTGACTAGAAACAAAAAGGGTAACAAAGCAGGTCAAATGATATGTTTTCCTTAATTCACTGCCTACTCCTAATTCCCAAGATGACTGAAATGCACCAACCCTTGCTGTGAGACATGGAACAAGACAGAAGCTCTAGGAAGTACATACAGCAAGATGAAGCCAGTTGGATTTGGCGAAGCATTTTGTGAATGAGTTGTAACAATTGCAACTAAACAAAAAAGAAAGGGACAAGACAAGGAAGAAAAAAATAAATTCAACTCGTTGCTTTCTAATAACACATGGCTTTGGCTGATCTCCCTCAGTAATCTTCATCCTCCGACTCTTCATCTTCAGCCGTCTCCAGCCAGGTCAGCCATTGGTTCACCTGCGTCAAAAAGTAACACATCAATCAGTGGTTAAAAAAACAATAAATACATTAAATGAATCAGGTGACAAGTTCTGGTTCAATTTACCTGAAATAAAGCTTTCCCCTTTCCAGGATACTCCTCTGTGATGTCTTCTTTCCATGAGAGGAAGGCTTCTTCTTCGACTATTTCCATGTCGTAAAAGTTCACAAAGTAGCGCAGCAACATGCCTGAAGCACAACGACAAAGGATTACAGGAAAAGCTCCAAACGGCAAAACATTAAATCACTTTGGAGAAAACTAAAATCGAAACGCGCACCTTTGGGGAAACTCTTGGTGTTACAGTGGACTTGCAGGGCGTACAGCGCGCTGACTTGTAGGTTAATGTGATCATGGAGGAACTTCTGCAGGACTGGCTTGAAGGAGAGCAGCAGCTGCTTCTCCTCATCCAGCTGCTCCTTGCTGGGTGATGCGAGCTGCTCCTCGTCGTCGTCTGGGTTGATCTCATAAGCAATGTACTGCAGAAGACTGGAAGAAACCGCAAAACCCTTCAACTTGAGCTCTTAAAGAATGCCATTTCAATCAGCAGAAGCTTTGTCCCTCACCTGGTCACAAGGATGTTGACAAAGCCCTTATCGGTGTGAAGTTTGGGTGAGATGTTGTCTTTGATCCACTTGTAGATGGACTGTGGCGACGGATCTACTTTGATCTGCTTCAGCAGCTCCTTCTCCAGTTTCATCAGTGGGAACAGAAAGCCAAGACCTTTGCCCTCTAAAATCTCCAACATCCTATCCTTGTTCTGGTCAATTTCTGATAAATAAATAAATAAATGGGTGAGCTAAAAAGAAATTACTTCAACTGTACACGTAAACAGAACTAGTGTAAACAGAACGAGCATACCAGGTAGCATCTTCTGCATGTTGACCTTGCTCAGCTGGAACAGGTCGCCCAGCCAGTCTTTGTCCTTCAGTTTGACCATCTGCTGCAGGCACAGCAGGAAGAGGGGGAAGTGGGTACCGTTCTCCAGCTGATGAGCCAAGTCGTCGATGCTGACCAGATCGGCGATTACAGCTCGAGCAGCAAACTGGGCCAGGTAGGATTTCACCAGAGGGATTTCTTCCTCGATCTTAGCGCTCTGGTCCAGAACACGCAAGAAGGCCTACGAAGAAATCCAAGAAAGTTGGGGTTAATTGATATTCCAGCTGAACGATCGAGCATTTTCCCGTTTATCAGAGGACACTCACAGGCAGAAGGCTTTCACGGCTGATGACTCCCTCAGTGGAGAGAGCATGGATCAGTTTGCTCGCATTTTCCTTGTCTTCGTCGGACCGCTCCAGTGTGAACACAATCATCTTGTTCAGCATCTCAGGTAAGAAGTACTTGGGCGCCTTCATCTCCTTTGCAGCACTTACAGCCTCCTCGATGTCTTTCCCATTCAGATAGTTTGTCATAAGTGTATCCTAAAAAAGACAGACAAGTTTTAGTGAATGACGCAACGCTTTACAGGAAGGAAGTCGAGCTTAAACCATGAGAAACTCACCGTCATTTTGTGCAACTCTTCTTTAGTCGGTGGAGCTTTTTTGTTGGACTTTGCTGGCTTTTCCTGGATTGGAGGAGGATTACTTTTGAGGCCAAGCTGTAAAATAAATAAATACATTTAATGTGCACCTTGCAACACTTGAAGCACCATGGAAGCTTTATTTAAACGAAGGGAGGTTACCTGTCCGATTGGAGAACCAGTTGGAGGCATCAAAGTCATCTGTGGCTGCAGCTTTGGCACTTGCGTTTTATTCATGATGAAGGACTGAGCCGGCCTCAGACTGATCTACAAGACAATCACAAAGTGGTATAAACTCAACTTACAGATGAATCTCTAGTGAGATTTTCTTGCCATAAAAAGAGTCAGTACCTCATCAGCATTGAGTTTTCCTTTCTTGCTGAACCTTGGACCCACATCCTTTGACTGTACTTGTGCTGAGTGATTCTGCTTATGGCTGAAAACTGGTGAATTCTGCCCCTTTAAAAAAGGAAAATAATGAAAAAAAAGTTTTAATACTTTGAATGAGAATTAAACATTCAAGAAAGCTATGAGTCTTACCTGATTTGGCTTTGTGAATGGCTTGCTTCCTGGTTCAAACTGAGGCTGGTGTGAAGCGTTGCCATTTCCCATATGGCCGTTGAACAGTGGGCTTGCACGATGACGACCCATGGTGGGGGAGAAATGGTCTTGAATCACTCCTGGACCAGTTCCAATGCCAATCCCTGTTCAAAGACACACATTCAATTTTGCCGTCTGATATTTTAATGACTCTAGGAAGTAGTAAAACTTCTATCAGGGTAAAAATGGCCAACATACCAGGCAGTTGTCCAAACATGTCAGCAAGCCCACCGAGAGGCTCTCTTTCAACTCTCCTTGATGGCAGGAAGGAGTTATGGTCTGTAAAGAAGTCATTCCTCATCACATCATTGGATGGTGGAATGAACACACCCAAATCCTAAAAAGCAAAAAATATATCTCTAGTGAGTTAAATTTTTTATTTATTTATTTTTTTAAAGTCGCCAAGCTAGTTACTGAACCACCGTCTAACCTTTACGGCATCCTGGCGAACTTGGTGAATGGTTTTAGGCCCGTTGTCCACATAAGCTTTGCGAGGAACCCAGTTGTTTTCTCGTAGCTCCACCATGTTCTGCAACAGGAAGCGAATCCTTGCTGACAAGTCCTGGTTGTTCATTAAGGATTGCATGCGTCCAAAGTACTGATCAATCAGGGACTGCGGAGAGAAATTGAAGAGTTTTCAATATAACATTAGACCACACAACAGTTGTCATTGTTAGACCCATTTAAGTTTACACACCTTAGCCTTTGCATGATCAATTTTAGGTCCCACAGTTTTCATTATTTGACAGAGGCATTCCAAATCTTCACCCATATCCTTAAGTTGGACTCTCTTCTTCTTCTCCAAAAGCTTAAAACATTTTGAAGAGCACAAGTTAGATTCCCTACACATCAATCTGATTGTTACAAAGTCATGTACCATATAAAACTTACTGTTTTAATACATCTGTGAAGAATGGATTCGTGGATAAGATTGAGTTTGCCAAGTTCACCGATGAATTTGATGTTACCCAGCATCTTGATCTTTGCAATAGCACGCTGCTCCTCCTCTTCAGAGGTGAGCGGGTTGTCATGTTTGTCAAAGACTACATAAAAAATCAAATTTAGATGGAAAGAATGAGTTTTTAATAATATACATATTTAAAAAATACAGCAAGATTTACTCACCATCAACATTCTTGGCACGGTTTTCGAATTCATCTTGAAGTTTAGAGATCAGAAGCCTTCTAAAGGTCTGAAAACAAGAAAAGAAAAATAAGTTGACTCCAACACATCTAAGAGCCTTCAAATATAAATATTGCTTAAAACCTACAGTATTTTGCTTTTGAGTTGCTAGACTTTCTGCTGATGGGCCTTCAAAGTTTGGTGCATCCTCTGCCAGGCGAAGACATAGTTGCGCATAAAGCTGGCTGTACTTGGGTTCTTCAAGGGCCTTGTCAACAATCTTAAGAACATGAATACAATATGTGACACATCACTGGTTTAGTATGTCCACAAATAAAAATGTATACAAGGATAAAGGATACTCACCAACAAGACGACTCCTTTTAGGACAAGTTTGGAATCCAAACCCACATTGAGGAGCTCCAGGCACAGTTTGTCAAACTTTTCAGGGGTCAGCTTATTAAGTATGCTGAGAAACAAAATATATTCATTTAAAAAAAAAAAAAGCAAAAACATGAAGATATACTTGGAGCCACGAAACTTTAAAACAACTCTGAAAGTACAAGCGTTAACTTACCCTCTTACTTTCCTGAAGATTGCATCATTTTGTCCTTTCTCGCTGGAGGAATTGGCATCTCGTCTAGTGCTTCGTGAAGGAATCCATCTCTGAACGCCAGGACCTGGGGTTTTCCCCAGGAACTCGCTGTTACAAAAAAAAGAAAAAACAAAAACAAAAAACAATATGGTGAGTACAACAATGCAAACAGAACAATGTCGAACCATTTTATTTTTGATGCACCAGCTGAAACTTATGTCTACCATGTCTAATGTTAGTAACAGATTTCAGAGAAAGATTCACATTCCCTGCATGATATGAAAGGAAGGCTCCTTATGTGGGGAAAAAAAAAACACATGTAAATGTTTCAATACTACTTTCATTTTTTATTTGAACCTAAACAAAATAACTTGGGGGGGTGGGGGGGTATAATAAATAGAAAAGTCACCTGTTGCAGACAGTCTTGGGATAGTGCTGAGGTGCACCCCCACCTCCTCCCCCTACACTGTAAAACAAAAGGTAAAAAATACATTTTAACATCACAAAAAGGCTGGCTTAACGTCCTTTATTGGTTGAGCAGCAGAGAATCAGGATAAGCAAGTGTGATGCAATGTTAATGCCGAGTACCTGAAACGAGAAGGTCCCCCTGGTGCGACGACACTCTCCACTTTGGCGGCTTGGCAAAGAATTTTGGTAAAGAATTAAGCAAAGTGTGGGGGCTGGAAAAACGACCTGGAGACAGAAAAAGAAAAAAAAATCAAAAGCTGAACAATGAGCTAAAAAGATAATATAACTGATCACATTCGGATTCATTTAGTTTGTTGCAATCAAGAGCAGAAATCTGTTCCTTTTTACGAACAATTTAAACCGATTCTAACCGAGAAGTGGAGCACATGAACGTCAACACGTGTAGGAGGCTGTAGGGAAGCTAGCATGCTAACTTAGCACGAAAGTGGAACAAAACAAGATCATGGCGTAATGTCATCCTATTTCTTCTCGGTATAAAGATCATGTCATCGATAGCCAAGCCTTAAACACTCGGTAATACTGGCATACGTTGATAAAAAGAAAACATTTTACTTGAGCCATGTAGACCAGTTCACTTAAACCAAATCACGAAAAGCAGGAAACGCTTTCAGCAACTTCCACAGAAACTTAATATAACTGGCGGAATGATCATCAAAATCTACGTTAACTCGTGTCATTGCCGACGCATTTTGGAAATGACACGCTCCGAAAATGAGCCGTTTGACCTTCTTGTGTTTTTTAAACAACATACGATTATCTAGATATAATTAGAGGACTCGGTTTTTAGCGCTTTCAAATCAGATGTTTTATTTTCACAAAACCTATTTGAGGAGCTCGCCAACATACTTAAACCCTTAATTTTACAACCATTTGCTTTGTTATACATTATAAACATATTTCTGAACAAGAATTGGCTCAAAAGGGAAAGGGGAAAATTCCCATCAGCTGGTTTTATGAGGTCTTTGTTCTAACACCGGAAGTCCAGGCAGCGACATTTTGAGGAGGGATGAGGTGGGGGATTCTCGAAACTACACCAGAGCTAACGGGTAAAAGGCCAACAGCCATCCTCCGGTATCAACTATGTATTTTAGATTAAACGAACAAGATATCATTATACATGTAAGTTCAAGCTAAACAAGAAGATACGGTGAAGTTTTCTCACTCTTCCGTGAACTACATAACCTCGACTAACTTCCTTCTCGAGGCGTCGGTTAGCTAACGTAAAGCCAAGGGAGAAAAACACACAGAACTTACCTTTCCTAAAGGAACGTCAGCGTAAGTGTTGTCTGTTTGACCAAAAGATAGAAAATAAAGACAAATTTAAAACAAGTATTCAAAAAGCTGTCGTGGCACCAGTCGATTTCGTAATGTAATAATCGGGAAACCAACAAGCTCAGATGAGACTACAAGGAAGGGATGAACTGCTGACTGCTCCTGTACGTCACGCGGAGGATGCTTTTTGTATGGCACGCTACCTGAAACGTCATCGTCCCGAGCGACGTCACGTTCAGTAATGTCTTGAACATTTCGCAACGCGTTCCTTCTTCAGGGTTTGTCTTATCAGTCTTCGGGTTTCCGCCACAAATATTGAAACAAAGCAGTAATTTCTGGTCAAGAATACAAAAATAGAAAAAATATCGGTGTTCTTACTGTTCTAATTAACATAGTTGCGTCTTCGCTATAAACTAGTGTCTGTAACAGGATGTACTAAAATAAACACAACAAAGGTGAAGCATTTAGCCGATTCCAAATGCTGTAGAAGCGAGGAAAAATAATATTTATCTACACTTAGAAGAACAAGCAAGAAAATCTTTCTTGGGCCATTATTTCTTCGCGGTGATGAGGCCTTTTCAGATTGTTGTAGTTTGTGCATAACAATTTATACGATTTCAAAATTGCAAAAAAAAAAAGAGCTGAACAAGTGAGTTTTGCCCATGAAGAAAAATTGCCAAATCCCCTGCTAATTGTGAATAAATCATTATTTATTGTAATTAATGTTTGAATCTGAAGAAACAGCCCCCTGTGCGAATTTAACAATTTACTTATTTGACAAACACCGGCCTCAGTGTTGTGTATGATAACCATGCACAACCACAACAGCATTCATCCTCCTCCTCAGCCTGTTCTCAAGCTTGATCACACACTGCTGTGGGATGACATCCTCTATTCCACTCATCTTTTGTCAAACTTTAGCAAATATTTTTAAGAATACAGCCTGCGTTTTTAGCTTCCTGTCCATCAAATAGGTGCCTTTTCTATACAACTGTGGCAGCATTTAAAAGGAACTAAACCAACTTTCCATTGTTATAAGATTTATATACTTTTTGCTTCAAAGAAATAAACTAAAAACTAATTTTGTTACTTTTTGTGATAATTTTAGTTTTAGGTCTTCTTATTGCCACTATTTAATTCATAATAAAACATGTAGTTTTAACATAAATGTGTTAAAAAGATTCAATTATGTATTAAAGAACTCGTAGTTCTGTGGTTTCCTAATAGACCAATTTTGTACTCAGTACTTGTGTTTCCTAGAATTTCTAAAAATAGATAGCCTTAGGTTTTAGGTACCTTGACTGTTTACTGTTTCTTCTTGAGGCAGACAGTCTACTTGCAGTAAACGTTCCTTTTGATAAAGTTCATAGATAAAACTGCTTCAACTTGTTCTGTAGTAATGGTTTTAGGCTACAGGAGTGCACAGACACTTTTCAATTGCTCGATCTGCCATTTTCTTTGTTCTCCACTTATATATTATTTAAAAGGTTTGCTATTTACTAAGTTTCTTTTCGTTCTTTGTTTTCTTGTAGGCTGTACACCCTGTTGTGCTCACAACACACATCCAGCCAAATCACATGGCTCATCCTTGGCTATGTTCTACTTTCTTCCTATTTCATCTCCCTTTTTGCCCCATGCTTGCTCAGGATGCTAGACTGCTGTGAGAAGACTGAATGCAATATGCTTCTTTGAATCAATTTCTCGTTATCCGACCTAATCTCATTGTACTGCATTGTAATATGGTGGGTGGAACCGGGCTGGAAGTGTATTTGAATTTGGTTCTGACTGTACAATACTGAATTTCATTGGATGGGAAACAATTTGAATGTTTTTGGCCTGTTTTGTATTTTGTATAGGGTTCTCATATTTAAACTTCACATAACTTAAGTCACATAAACACACTAACTGATGTCACTGAAGTCTTAGTTTAATTTTCTGTCAAACAGTTCCTTATTTTATTTCAAAAATGGTAATAGTCCAAATAAAATCAGTCAAGAGATTCCACTACCTGTGCATGCCTTTAAGAGACAACATTTTAATTTAAAAACAAATCACAAGGAATATTTTCTGTACTCATTTATTTTCTTCTAAATGTTTTGCATACCTTTAATGAAAAAGGGCTGACAATGTGATTTTACTTGCCAAAATAATTTATGGCATTCTGCTTACATTTACTGTGTTATATTAGTAGCTTCACTTAAAGGATTTCCAAATGTCTGCTCTTGCATCAGCATTTTCAGTTCTTATTAACTACTGTTTTGTTTGCCTCCTTTATGCATTAGTTCTTATCATTTAAGAACTAAATATTTTATAAGTTTTATTAGCTGGATAAATATTCTTATCCAGCTGCGCTGAACAAAAACTAGAAACTGGAAATATGGTTTTGGTTTTAAGGTTGAAGAGGCTTGCCTGCACAAACTGTTGTAAAATATTATTTTTGGAATATGAACTAAACGCATTGGAAAATTAGCTTCACTTTTTAAAAAAGCTAATTTTGGAATTAAGAAATGTATACTTATGTTTTTGTTGCTTATGCTTTTTAAAGTGTCTTACTTTAGATCATCCTCCCCACAATTCTTTTTGAAATTCTGTCCCTTTAATTTGGCACACCACCCCTTTGAAAGCTTTATAGTCACAGGTTTTATAAACTATGAGAATGTACAAACTTGGTCATTTTTTAAGGATTTTGTTGTGTCCTATAGAATAAATTTGGTCTATAAGAATATAATCCCAGACTCCTTTTCCTTCACCAGAGCTTTCTATAAAACTGTCTTCTGCCAGTTATCTGTTTTATGGGTTTGATTTGTTTCTCTGTAGACTAGAAGTGTAGATTCACAATACCTCCAGTGGATTGTGTGTTTTATTGGGTGAATGATAGTGTCTTCATGTTCACATAAATCTGGCAGGATGAGTCACTTCTTGCCAGTGGGGCGAGATTAGACTGGCTCAGGTTACTCTCTGCTGCAAGAGCTACTATAAGAGCATGTTAATCTTTGCTGCTACCATGACAAAAAGAACACAGTTAACTGAATAAACTAATATATTAATGTTAAATAATATAGATTTTTTTTTTTTTGTTGGCTGGTTACTGTTAGACAATAATCAGCCGTCAGGGTGAGCCTGTGCATTGACTCATGATGTGGGTTGACATGCATGTCTAGCCTGTCTGCCAGGTTTGCATTACCAGTGTGTTTTCATGCATAATACCCACATGTTTCAAGCACAAACAGAACTGGAATTATGTCTTTCTCATGCTTAGACCAGTGCTTTCAAACCTGTTTACTTTGTCGCGCTTTGAAGTTGTCTTTTTGGTTCCCCGTTGTCTCATATTTCTGTGTATGGGTTGACATCTATGTAAATGTTTTAGTATTTCAACTTTCACAGAGTCACCTTTCCATGTTATTAACACGCTAATAAAATCCAGCTGACAGTGAGTGATTAAAAAGCCTGTTTGAGATTTATTTATTCAGTCAGCTGTGTTGTACCTTGCTGTACTTCCTGAGAAAAAACACACGGTGTCTTTTTTCAGGTATTCACAGTGACGCTCACCGATTATGGACTGCATCACTCACAGAGACTCATGTCTCGGCGTGTTTATTTGATCATTTTCCTCTACCGGCCAAAGATTCATTCAATGTCTGTCTTCACGTTCTCTGTTTGATTTTTTTCCACCCCTGCAGAGCTTCAATCATTCATCAAAAGCCAAATGAAGCCAGTTGTCTCACAGTAAACAGTCCAAGTTAATTAAGCCCACCGTGCCAGTAAAAGATAACAACATAGTTTTGCTCTCCAGAAAAACTCCTGCTCCTGTCAGAGCATCTGTGATTATTAGTTAACATATTATTGGTTTAGATTGATTCTCTTTGATCTGAGCTTCACTTTTGTACTGATGCGGTTT